CGACCACTCGGTTTATGTGTGAGGAATGTAAGGTGCCTCTGTGCATGGTGCCTTGTTTCAAGGAGTTCCACAAGCTCCAGCAGTTCTAAAACCATGTCCAGTGATTGTAAATATGCAAATATATGATAGAACATTAGTATTATACAATATTTGTGCATGTTTATTTAATAAACAAGTGGTAAACAATAATATGATAATAACTTTAGTGCGGTTATTGTGTTCAATACAGTGAGTTTATATATATACTTATATCAGTATTGGTCTCTCAGGCCCAAATGTTAGTAGGAATAGAAAAAAAATTGGAAAAAGAAAAAAAAAAACAACAAAAACCGCTAAATTAATGTAATGCGCGTATGGGAATTCGTCGATGGTTGCCGCCACACATCATTTTTGACAAACTTCTTGGCACTGTATCTCAGTAAGTACTGATCAGAATTTTTTTTTTTGGTCTTATTACCTTCACAAAAGTATGCTCTTTAATTCTGTAAGAAAAAATAATTTTTTTTTTTTTTTTTTTCAAAATTTCTTGGACACTGGAGCACCACTTCAGATTTTGGCCTTGGACCCTGAAGGGGGTTAAGCAATATATACCAAGCAAACATAATTGCTCTGGTATAAAAGTTTTTGTGGCCAAAATGTATCTATTCCTTGCCACGGTCATGCTTATGTGTGTGGAACAGTGAGAACAAATAGAAAATATATGCCAAGGTTCACTGCCTTGACAGGTTTTGATTAGTATAATACAAGAGAGGTTTCTCCATGGGAATATGGAACAGAATTCTTCGTCCGTAAGTCATGTGTGTCACAAGAGGCGACTAAAATGACAGGAGCAAGGGGCTAGTATCCCCTTCTCCTGTATACATTACTAAAGTTAAAAAGAGAAACTTTTGTTTTTCTTTTTGGGCCACCCTGCCTCAGTGGGATACGGCTGGTTTGTTGTAAGAAGAAGAAGAGATGTTTAAATTTTAAAAGAATAAAGGGAGTGCAATTTCATTCATTTTCAATCAGTTTGGAACAAAGCTGCAAATGATCCAAAATAACATTACACTAAATGAACATCAGTCACAAGACTTGCAGGAGGGAAAATTCCTAGGTATCCACCTTGACAGTAGCCTTAAGTTCTGGATACACATACAACAAATCACCAAGAAAATCTCCAAGACTGTAGGCATACTATCAAAGATAAGGTACTACATTCCACAATCAGCTCTCCTGGCACTGTACCATTCACTCATATACCCTTATCTTACATATGGAATTGGTGCATGGGGATCAACAACATCCAATCACCTAAAACCCTTAATAACCCAGCAAAAGGCAGCAGTAAGAATAACAAATTCCCACTCCCACCAGCATACTCCTCCAATTTTCAAAAGTCTGAATCTGCTTACCATTAAGAACATCCATACTTATTCATGTGCCTACTACATACGCAGAACAATACACGCAAATATAAACCCCCCACTCAGACTTTTCCTCACCAACCTAAACAGGACACATGACCACAACACAAGACAGATCTCTTTTTGATATACCTCGTGTCCATATCACACTGTGTAAAAACTCTATGCACATAAAGGGCCCCAAAATATGGAATTCATTCAATTCAAATTCAAAGTTTATTCTCTATAAGGATTATAATGCTGAGTTTACAGAATTTGGTTATTGTGTGGTTTACATGTAGTAAAATAATAATTACAGAGTGTACCACTAGAACACCTAGCATGGCTAGGCATTTCGGGCAGACTTAAATTAAATCGTAAGTTTAAAATATTACAAAATTATGAGGTAAGTTGGTATTATGGTAAGTGACTAAATACTAGTTTGTGAGTTTAGCAATGTGAATGCTTTTGTTTTGGCACTATACATAGTTTCAGTATTGGAGTATCACAGGCCAACTTATGACTAGTTAAGATTCTTATTTTGAGATTGAGATTGATATTTCTGTTTATGGTCAAAATGGGTGAGTGAGTGTAAGTGTTAACCACCAGGTGGTATTCGTGTAATTAGTTGACAGGGTGTATCAGGGAGATAAGATGTTTTCTGATGGTAGTTTTGAAAGGTGATGAATGTGTCTGCAGTTTTAGAATTTTCAGGTAGGGTGTTTCCAGAATTTAGGGCCTTTGACATAGTACATTGAATTTTTGTGTAAAGGTTTAGTCGGACACAGGGAATGTTTATAGAGATGTTTGTGTCTGGTGTTTGTGCCTGTGGGTTTCTGTCGCAACTATCAAAGAAAGCGTTTTAGGTCAAGGTTAATATTGGAATTTAAGTTCCTGTAGATGTAGACTGCACAGTAGTAGTGTGGATGTACTGAACAGGGAGTAAGTTTAGATCTATGAAGAGTGGGGGGGTGTGTTGCCAGGGATGGGATTTAGTGATTATTCTTACTGGGGCTTTTTGTTGGGTTATTATTGGCTTTAGGTGTGTTGCTGCAGTTGAACCCCAAGCACAGATAGCATAGGTGGGGTAGGGATATATAATGGAATGGTATAGTGTGAGAAGGGCGGTTTGCGGCACATAGTATCAAAATCTTGGAGAGGTTTCCCAACCGTTTTGGATACTTTTTTGGTTTTTGTGTTGATATGGGTGCGGGAAGTTCAGGTTGTTGTCGAGGTATGGGCCTAGGAATTTGCCCTCATTTATGCCTGGCAATTAAGTGTTGTCGATTTTTAATGTTAATTTTTCCCGCATCTCCTGCTCTGCTACCAAACAAAAATGTAGTAGGTTTTGTCAGTGTTAAGGTAGTTTATTGGCTGTCATCCAAGTCGATATTTTGATCAGCTCCTCTTAACAGTGGTGTTGAGGGTGGCAAGATTAGGGTGAGAGATGACATAAGTTGTGTCGTCAGCAAAGAAATGGGGTTCAGGTGTTGAGATACGTTTGGAAGACATTGATGTATATGAGGAAGAGCAGGGGACCAAGAAAACTTCCCTGCAGAACTCCAGTATCAAGTGGCTGTGTTGTTGATGCTGTGTCTTTAATGGTGACATACTGATACCTATTAGTAAGGTAAGATTGGGAAAAATGCAAGCGCATGGCCTCTTATACCATAATGGTCAAGTTTGTGGAGTAGGATGCCGTGGTCTACTGTGTCAAAGCTTTTTTTTGGTCAATAAAAATTCCTAGTGGATATTCCCTTTTTTTCCAATGCTGTGTAAGCAGATCTAACATTTTTATGATTGCATCGTTAGTGCTTTTATTTTTCCTGAATCCAAATTGGCAGGGGTTGAGTTGTTTTGTGCCGTTATAAATGAATATTGTTCCTGTGCACGAGTTTTCTCAAAGATTTTGGTAGCAATGGTAGGTTTGATATTGGCCTATAGTTGTTTAATCTGTAGGGTCACCACCCTTTTTGTATTGGTGTAACCCCTTTCCGTCTTGAGCAGTTTTGGGAAGGTGCTAGTTTCTAGTGACTTGTTAAAAAGTAATGAGATAGCATGCGAGAGGACATGGGCCGCTCTCTTGTACAATAATGGTGGGACATGAGACAGATTCCCTGAGTTATTTTTAAGTAACTTTATAATCTCGGTGACTTCCATGGGCTCAGTTGGAGCAAGATAGAAGGAATTTGGGAAATTCCCATCTAGGTAGTCCCCGGCATGGGCATTGGTACGTGGGATTTTATTGGCGAGATTAGAACCTATGGTTGAGAAGAAGTCGTTTATTAAAGTAACCCAGTCTGAAAATCAATTTAAGACTTCTCAAAAGCCACTTAATCACCCTAGACTAAATGCTAAATACTCAGTATACATTTACTCACCTATGTACTCCCACATCATAACTGAAACAATCACATTGAACTTTTTATCCATTGTTGACATGAACATAATTGAATCATTGTTTTTCACAAAAGCATTTTAGAATACAAATATATCTTTGTATTTTACAAATTTTGATTCATTTATAATTAATATTCTACTGTACAACTATGAAATAATTACTGTACTATTTCTTAGTATTAAGTAGACTGTAAGCCAATAATGTTAAGTTGGCCCACAATGCCAAGGCATAATAGAGGCTCTCTTTGCATTGCATCCCACTATTGTATATACACAATCTCAATGTACTGTTTGTAAAGACATTAAATACATAAATAAAATAAAAATAAATGGCTTAACACACCTTCTTAATGAAGCTGCTGGCCACACAACACAGCAGAGGTGGCCTCCATGATTCATTTCTAAGAGGAGGATTATGGACTCTGATACTTAATGCACACATACACAGTATTGACAGTGTAAGATAAGATAAGATTTCGTTCAGATTTTTAACCCCGGAGGGTTAGCCACCCGGGATAACCCAAGAAAGTCAGTGCGTCATCGAGGACTGTCTAACTTATTTCCATTGGGGTCCTCAATCTTGTCCCCCAGGATGCGACCCACACCAGTCGACTAACACCCAGATACCTACCTATTTGCTGCTAGGTGAACAGGACAATAGGTGTAAGGAAACATGTCGAAATGTTTCCACCTGCCAGGAATCGAACCCGGGCCCTCCGTGTGTGAAGCAGGAGCTTTAGCCACCAGGCCACCGGGCCACCATGTATCCTTGCAAGAAAACCTGGATAGAATGAGTAAGTAGAATAATGCATGCATGATGGAATTAAATGTGAATAAGTGTTACAATTTAAATAGGAGAATGAAAATAAGCAATGCAGATGATATAGATTGTGTGATAAATACCAAAATTCAAAATTTTAGAAAGCATTCACTTAGAGAAATTTTTAATTAACCCGTAAACGGTCCAAGCAGATCTACGTTCACGTGTGTAGTGCTACAAAAGTAGGTCTATGGTTTTTTTTTACATATTTTCAAATATAACAAAAAAAAGGTAGATCAAAGTTTTTTTACACATTTTCAAATGTAAAAAAAAAGATCTACTTTTTTTACATACTTTCAAATGTTGAAAAAACATATATATACGTTTGGACCATTTATGGGTTAAAATATAAGTTTTGGTCAAAATTGGAAGGATTCTCCCTACAAGAATTCTGAATAAGAGAGGAATTTCTTTTTATTGAAGACTGTCAAGTTATGTATGAAACAGCATAAAAGATGAGGCTGACTTTGTTTTTCTTTTGCATTTGAACAGATTTCAGCCTTGATATTTATCAAGGTCAAATAACTGCAATTTTGGGTCACAATGGAGCAGGGAAAACAACATTATTTAATGTACTCACCGGCATGACTGCTCCAACACAGGGTAGTGCAAAAATCTTTGGCATGGATGTTTGGTAAGTGATATATATTTCAAAGTTGGTGATATTGTTACAGTTATGAAATACATTTTTTAACTCTCTATATCTAAATAATTAATACACTAACTCTCAGGATGTATTGTTTAGGTTAAGCCCTTGTATGGTGCTCACATGTGACTCAGACAAAAGTTTTCCAACTTACAAAGAGTTTTGACTGTGCTTCATAAGAGTTATTTATCCTCAGAGGCTGCCTTGATGCTGGTGATCCAAGGCTAAATTTTAAAAAAAAAGGATAAACAGTATCCACAGTAATAATGTTATATTAAGTAATCTTTAGTCATTAGGATTAGTCTGCCCAAAATGTACCGCATGCTAGTAGCTTTTTTTTGTGCTTAACAATTTATTACATGTAAAATACATACCTGTATACTGTAGAAAAGAAATAAATTATTTTTATTTGTATTTGAGGCATTACATGTCAAAACACATGTATTGATGGTTTGTTTGTGGTTGTTTACCACTGATGCAACTGATTAGCAGGGTTGCCAAATAGTGCTAGACTCTTTCCTACAAGGAGCTAAAAATGTACTAAATTTATGCGAAACAGCTAAAAAATGTGTTAATGCTATCAGTTACAAAAATAACACATTATGCATTGCTCTCGTTTGCCAGTATACAAGCTTTAGGAAGGGTGTGGGATGTGTAGACCATGTGTTTACAGTGAAGCATATAAGTGAAAAGTATCTAGATAAGGATAGAGAGGTTTTCATTGCATTTATGGAAAAGGCATACAATAGGATGGATAAGAAAGCAATGTGGCAGATGTTGGATGTGTATGGAATAGGGGGTAGGTTACTGAGAGCAGTTGAGTTTTTACGAGGATAGCGAGGCTCAGGTTAGAGCATGTAATTATCAAATGGTATACAATACCGACAGGTTGGTAGATAAGACACATAGGCAACATTTAGGCAACTTTATTTTGCCTACTGTGTAGGCGAAACGTTTCGAAATAAAGTTGCCTAAATGTTGCCTATGTGTCTTAGAGCATGTAGGAGAGAGGGAGATTATTTCCCAGTAAAAGTAGGCCTTAGACAGGGATTCATGATGTCACCATGGTTGTTCAGTATATTTATTGATGAGGGTCATAAGAGAAGTGAATACTTGGGTGTTGGCAAGAAGTGTGGGATTAAAAGATAAAGAATCTAACACAAAGTGGGAGTTGTCACAGTTGCTTTTTGCTGATGACACTATGCTTTTGGGAGATTCTGAAGAGAAGTTCCAGAGCTTGGTGGATGACTTTGAGGGGGTATTTTAAAAGGAAGGAAATTAAAAGTGAACATAAGGAAAGAGCAAGGTGATGAGGATAACAAAAAAATTAGGTAATGAAAGATTGGATATCAAATTGGAGGGAGGGAGTGTGGAGAAAGTGAATATATTCAGATATTTGGGAGTGGACTTGTCAGCAGATGGGTCTATGAAAAATGAGGTGAACCATAGAATTAATAAGGGAAAAAAGGTGAGTGGTGCACTGAGGAGTCTGTGGAAGCAAAGAGGGAAATATATGAGAGTATAGTGGTACCAACGCTCATATATGGGTGTGAAACATGGGTGGTAAATGTTGCAGCAAGGAAAGGCTGGAGGAAAGGGGAAAGATGTTGTGTCTAAGATCAATGTGTGGTGTGAATATAATGCAGAGAATCCATAGCTTGGAAATTAGGAGGAGTTGCAAGATTACCAAAACTATTATCCAGAGAGCTGATGAGGGGTTGTTGAGGTGGTTCAGACATTAGAGAGTTTGGAAAAAAAAACAGAATGACTTGGAAAGTTATAAACCTGTAGTGGAGGAAAATCAAGGTAGGGGCCAGCCTTGGAAAGGTTGGAGGGAGGGGGTGAAGGAGGTTTTGTGTGCTAGGGGCTTGGACTTCCAGCAAGCATGAGTGAGCGTGTTAGGAGTGAATGAAGACATAAGATTTTTAGGATTTGACATGCTGTTTGAGTATGAGCCAGGTAACATTTATGAAGGGATTCAGGAAAACCGGCAGGCCGGACTTGAGTCCTGTAGATGGGAAGTATAGTGCCTACACTCTGAGGGAGGGTTGTTGAGGGGGTTCAGACATTTAGAGAGGATGGAATGAAGTAGAATTATTTGAAGGGCATATAAATCTTTAGTGGAAGGAAGGTGGAGTAGGGGTCGTCCTTGGAAAGGTTGGAGGGAGGGGAGTAAAGGAGGTTTTGTGTGTGAGAGGCTTAAACTTACAGCAAGCATGCATGAGCATGTTAGGAGCAAGTGGATTCAAATGGTTTTTATGACTTGATCTGCTGTTGGAGTTTGAGCAAATTAACAGCTATGAAGGGATTCAGGAAAACCTGTTAGCTGAACCTGAGTCCTGGAGGTGGGAAGTACAGTGCCTGCACTCTAAAGAGGGATGGAGATATGTTGCAATTTTTGAACTGGCAAGAGAGTGGTGGAGTGAGTGACGATGGAAGTGTTTCTTCTTTTTCAGGTCACCCTGCTTCAGTGGGAAACAGCCAATGTGTTAATAAAAAAAAAATATTCTAGATCCGCTAAATCCCAATCAACCATCTCTTCTTCAGCATGTATAAATGTTTCTTGCTGTGACTGGCCATGTTCTCTTTCTTCTCTCTGTCTCGATATGTGCAAGTGGATGTGTGTATGGCTAGGACTGCATATTGATTAGTGATGATTTTTTCATACATTTTAAAAATAATTCATGTTTATCCTTTAAATTTATTTATTCTACTATTTAACCCTTTGACTGTTTTGGTCGTATATATACATCTTACGAGCCAGTGTTTCGGACGTATATATACTCAATAATTCTAGCGGCTTCAAATCAAGCAGGAAAAAGCTGGTAGGCCCACATGTGAGAGAATGGGTCTGTGTGGTCAGTGTGCACCACATAAAAAAAATCCTGCAGCACGCAGTGCATAATGAGAAAAAAAACTGACCATTTTTTTGGATTAAAACGCTGACTTTGTGTATTTTCGTATAGTATTTATCATTGTATTCTCATTTTTATGGTCTCTTGTGATAAAATGGAAAACATATTGCAGAAATAGAGATGATTTTGATTGGTTTCACAATGAAAAGTACCTTGAAATTGAGCTCAAAAGTAGCGGAAAAAGTTCGATTTTTACCAATGTTCAATAGTAAGCTAATCACATCACACTCCAATCATGTCAACTGAGGAGTCTGATATTCTTTCACTAGTGCACTGATATTTTTTATACCATTTTTACAATAATGCAGTAGCCTGCATAATAGTAAATTTTGTATTTTTTGTATGAATAAAAAAACAAAATAGCAATAGTAATAAAAGAGGGGCCTAGAGACATGACTAATGAACAGAGGGTATGTATTTTAGTGCCAAGAATGTCTACATTGTTTATTGTGGACTCTGTTTTGATAATTTGGGATCTTTTTTAATTTGCATGAAATTAGCCAAATTGCCAATTTCTGACCACTTTATTTGGGGAGTTCAAATCGGTAAATGGGGGGTTTCTTGTACTCAGTTGATAGAAAAAAATGGAGTTCTAAAGAAATAACTATGAGTTTGATCAACTGGAACAACGGAATAGGCCAAAAAAAAGGGGTCAAAGTTGGCAAAATCGCCGATGCGTTTTATGTTGCCGACACTGCTAAACTCGCGGGAGCGTAATTCCATGAGTTTTCGACCAAATTTCGTACTTTTGGTGTTTATTATGATCGGAGAAGATTCTCTATCATTTCATAAGTTTTTTTTTTTTTTTTTTTTTCAAAAAATTTTGCAACAGAAAAGACAGTTTCAGAAAGGGCTTGCGACAGTCAAAGGGTTAACAGGGGCACATTTGTACTGCAACATGACCAAAACAAACCTACTGTATGCAAATGGCAGCTGTTACAATGAGTGGAAAAGGTACAATATGCACCCCTGTTGTATGTGGCTACAAAAAAACAGAGGAAAAGAGTGATAGAAACAAAATTATAAAAGATTTTATATCATTTAGCCTATGATAAAACTGGTTTCATTATGTGTAGTTTCACTTTAAAATCTCATATCCAAGAACCTATTGACGACATTAAATGAGGACTTACTGTAGTCGGTTATGTCTATATTGAGGGTCAGTTTTGATGATCGTCATCCACATAGATATTTTTTAGTAGCTTCTTGTTAACAGTGTCAGTGAGCATAGTCAGATTTGAGTGGGGGAAGACTAGGAAACGGAGGGAGAGAGTAAAGGAGGTTTTGTGTGCGAGGGACTGGACCCTTTCCCGCAAGCATGCATGAGTGTATTTGATAGGATTGAATGAAGACAAATGTTTTTTAAACCTTTCAGGGTTGAGAGGCCCTCTCATAAACTTGTTCTCAGGGTCGAAAATTTTCAGAAAAAAAATTTTTTTTTTTTTTTTGAAATGCAGGAAACTTTTCCAATCATAATGAAACCAAAAAATATAAAATTTTAGGAAAACTTATGGTGATGCTTCGCAAAGTTAGCGTCTCGACGTTTTTACACAGGGGATTTTACCCCCTTTGGTCCTATTTTTTGGCCCCAAATTTCC